CCCTGCTCCCCAGCTGTTGGGGGAGAGGCATGCACAAAGACAGATCAGCCTCCAGATTTGTCACAGCACCTGCCTGTCTGCTGATGAGGTGGCTGCGAAGGTCTGCCCAGCAGCAGCAGTGGTCGCTGGCAAGCAGACATTCATCTGCAGCTGGCTGGAGCCCACCAGCCATTACATGCAAGGGCAGTGGTTTAACAAAGTTGCTGGCCACCAGCGGCATGTCAGCATGGCTGCTCCATCCGCTGGTCGCTGTGGTGCCAGCAGAAAGCTGCTACCTGCATTCCCATGCACAACCCATCACCACCACCAGGTCCTTCAGGTGCTGCCAGAGGGACCTTGTAGAGCAGCTTCATTCCCATTGCAATGAACTGTTAAGAATGTGGGGGTAGGGAGTGTAGTGAGGAGTAGAAGCCCTTGTTTGTTTGTTTTGGTGTGGCATCTGCCTCTCTGACAGAGCTCCCACTCCAGCGCTGCCCAGCTTGGAGCTGGTCTGGAGAACTGTATGGAAAAGCTGTGCCTGTGATGTCGAAATTACCGCTGGGATTTTTTTTTTAGCCAAAGAATGGTGATGCGTTCTGCTGGTGCTTGGAAAAGCGTTGGAGCAATGTGGGATTGTAGGAAAATCTAACCAGCTCCAGGTGACACACAGGAAGAAAGGCCTAAGCTGTTACCAACAGATTTTAGTGTTAGTGGCAATGAAAGGAGCAGTTCATACTTCATATACATAGCCAAAATTTTAGCCTGCCTGCAAGCTGTGGAGGACTGTACTTTGCCAGTCAGTTTGCTAGCCTGTTCAGAGAAGTCATTCTGAAATAAGCTGGGGATTTAAAATAATGTAAGCAGTCCAATGTAAGTCTCTATTCAAGATGGGAAACTCTTTCAGAAGAGCTGCCACGGAACAGGTGATTCTGGTGCAGACAAAGCTGAGATACATCTTCCTGACCAGCAAAATTTCAACATAGGTCCCAGTCAGACTGCATAATGCAGTTTTGTGCTGTTGCCATAGTAGGTATCTTCCTTAGTTATTAAGAACAAAGCATCTCTCACTTTCAAGCCGTTGCCCATGCAAATCTCCAACAAAGACCTTTGAATATGATCAAGGTTTTCTATCATCCTTAGATGGGCAGGTATGCAAACATCCAAAAACTGAATTCAGGATAGGGCTTAGGAAAAGTTATGGAGAAATAAGGAATTAAAAGAATAGAGAAGCCAAAAAATACTTACCGGAGGCAGGAGAGCTCTTATCTCAACATACTGCACGTTATCTTCATAAAGCTCCAGCAGCCCCTGGTAGAAATAGGCCTTGAACACAGGTGCATAGCAGATAAGTCCAGAGGCAACGAGAAAGACTTCTTCAAATCTTTTCCAAATGGAAGTCTGAGAAGGGTACGCCAGCTCAGGGGCATCTGTTACCAGGGTCAAGTTTCTCAGCAAGCTATGGAAAAGGGTGAGAAGAAAAGGAAGAATGAGAAGAACAAATGAGACAACTGGCTTTCAGCATGCAAAAAGCCGCTGGCTGGATGTTCAGTACAGAAGAAGATAGGTTTCCTTCAAGCATGAGTTTTCTTGACAGAGACCAAGCTTTGTGGACATGTCACTCTCCCACCTGCACGCTCTGGGGTGCAGCAGGGCAGCGGCTGTGCTGAAGGAGGCCTGTGTTCTTTGGGCAGGACCGAGAAAAGGTGCAAAGCAGTTCTTGCCACAGTAGGGGCCCAAGATCTAACTCGGAGCCTGTTGGCACTGCAATACATCAGGCATAACGATGACTGGTTTAACTAGGAAGCATCACAGTCATTTTTCTGCCACCTATATTTACTCCTCTAATGGTCGGTACAGATTATACCTGGCAGGTAAAATAGTCATGCTCTAAATATTGAGCTACAAGCAGGGTAGGGCTAGGTGTTCAAAACCCGTCCCTTCCTTTTGTGAGGGCAAAATCTTGAGGAGCATTAGAGTTACAAAAACAAGTATGGTGATTTTGTATCACAGGAATTGCACTCTGCTACGCAGGTGTGAGCTTTATTGAGAGTTTTAATCCAAAAGTAGGCTAGTACATTACTCCTGCAGACAATATGCTCTCCCAAACATTGTCAATGCACGTAAAAAATTGTGATACACAGCCTTCTGTTCACCACCTAAAGGTAGACTAAGCGTCCAAGTGATGCCACTTACCAAGCCACCAGCTTGCTTACTGAGCCTGTAACTTGCCCTGGTACCTTTTTATTGTCAAAATGTCATCTGTTATATGCAGGGAGAAAATAATTATGAATCAGAAATCCTTTTCCCCCTGCAGTGGAACAAACCTGATATCCTGCCTGTCTTGCTGATAACACCTTCTGATTTGTCTACTGAGAAATAACTGATAAGATTCATGGGTCCTAGGTGTTCCTCAGTGGGATGGAAATGTATTTATTTCCTCCATAGACTCAGCTGGCATATAAGCTTCTTTCAGAGGTCTAGAGAGGCAGCAGGAAGCTTCATCAAGCAGAGTTTGAGGGAGCCAGTAACTGCAAGACTGTCCAGCTGTGGGTGACATGGTGTGTGTCTGTGCTGCAACACTGTTCTGTGACAAGCTCATAGCCCTCATCTCACCCAAAGCCCTGCCTCTGGCAGCAGCCGACCTCCCTCCACTGGTGGCCACCTGAGGAGTTTTGAAGCAAATTTCTCCTGCGGTGGTCCAAGTCTAAATGGCAGTCTGGGAGGGATTAGCTTCATTCCTGGACAGACGTACTGAAACCACTGCAGCAAGCTACAAAGCTGGTTGGTTGGATCAATGGGCCAAGGTCAATTGTATGAGGTTTAACAAGGCCAAGTGCCGCGGTAACTGAGATTGTTTAGCCCAGAGAAGAGGAGGCTGAGGGGAGACTTTATCGCTTTCTACAACTACCTGAAAGGAGGTTGTAGTGAGGTGGGGGTTGGTCTCTTCTTTCAAGTAACTAGCGATGAGAGGAAATGGGCTCAAGTTGCACCAGGGGAGATTTAGATTGGATATTAGGAAAAAATTCCTTTACTGAAAGAGTGGTGAGGTGTTGGGAACAAGCTGTCCAGGGAAGTGATGAAGTCACCATCTCTGGAGGTGTTCAAAAAATATATAGATGTGGCAATTTGGGACATAATTTAGTGGTCATGGTAGTGTTGGGTTGATGGTTGGATTTGATGATCTTAGAGGTCTTTTCCTACCTTAAAAATTCTATGATTATGGTTGGTTACAGGTGTGTGGGCTTACCAGTCTGGCCAGGCCTGACACTTATCTAGTGTCAGTGGCTAAGCAGGTTCAGATAAAAATACCTTCAACCATGCTTCATCTTTCATCTAAGGATGTTGTTTCCCCCTCAGTAAGAGCTACTGATCTTTAATAATGTTTTATTTGATGTCTTGGCCCTCATCCTCATGCAGTGCTCTGCTCTCTTATACGGGAGGTGTGTGTTTGATTTGTACTCTTATTATCTTCTTCCAGGAGGCTTCTGTGGATGAAATTAAAAACCTCCCTCCTACAGATGGAAAATGCAATCTGGTCCAAACTCATCAACTAAGACATCCTGGGCAGGCACATCCCTTTTGAGTCTATCCATCCTGCATATAAAACAGAGCCTGTTCCCCCTTCATTAGCCTGCTGTTTCACTAAGGACCCTCTTTCAGCAGCTGCAGTTTCACTTATTCCCTGTTTTAGAAGCCAAATAGTGCATAAAGAGACACTCATACCACATTAAGGATGAGATTTTAAATGCTCAACAGTCAGGAAAATTCAGAATTAAGGTTTCCACAGCAGCTCTGGCTCTGCCCTCTCTTGAGCAACCCCAGCTACTGGTCAGTAATCCGTGCAACGAAGAGGACCCAGCTGGAACATGGCAGGGGCGGGCAGCATTTTGGACAGGCCGTGGGGAGCATGCAGCAGCGGAAGACACTGCAGCATCACCCTAGACACCAGGAATGCAGGAGCCAGCGGCATCTTGAAGGCACTGATCCAGCTGCCGGAGCTGTGGTGGAGGCCAGCTGCCGGCGGAAAGGGTGTGCTGCGGCTTGGCGAGGAGGGGAAAGGAGGTTTCGTGTGGGAAGAGCTGAGGAAAAGAGACTTTTCCGCTCCCCTCCTGGCCGAAGGGCAGCTCCGCACCAGCCCTGCACACCGGTGGATTGCACCTGCCTGAAGCCGAGAGCCGAGCGGGGTTGTTCCCACCAGCCCCGCAAGCACCCAGGGAAAAACCTCCCCATGGATCAAAAGGCCGTGCAAGCCCGTTCTCGCCACCCTGCGCGGCTTTGTTTCAGATAAGGACAGGTGGTTTGTTGGGCTCCCACCGCTTTCTCCCATTGTCCTGTGAGAACTCGGCGCCTCTAGCAACGAGCGCACAGAGGGCTCCCCTCCCTGCCTTTAAATCTAGCTGTACAAAGTTGGGGTTGTTTACTTAGCCTGTGCTCTTGGACTAGAAACAGCAATAAATCCCCACATCGCCCTGCTCCTAAAAGCACATAAATCAAATCGTGGGTTTTTTTATAATCCCCTTCCCTTTGAGACTGATTATTGATCCCTGTAACTGTTGAAGATTTATTACGTAATAGTGATCCATCCTTGATAACTGGATAATCTCCTAAGGGTTCAGGGGCTTTTGCCATCAGTAGCTCATGCAGATGAAGCAAAGGATCGTAAGTGCTTTTTTTTTGCTTCTTTTCTGGAATGGGCCCTCACCAGTGATCAGGTGCAGACTACAAATAGCCTTCCGTGTCATGTCATATATGCACTGAACAATGCTATTGCAATGCATATGCCCAAAGGGGCACAACTAAAACGACCAGCTAAGGATTTTTTTCAACTGGGGTTTTGCTTTCTCTCTCCCTGTTTTCTCCCCCCTAACTGTTTTTGCTTTCTATGTAATGCACAAGCGAACGGTTTGTTGCCTTGTTTTCTCCTGCCTCTTTTTCTGTTCTCGATGGGTAATTATACCCCTCTCCTCACCGTCGTATCTGAATGTCTTCCAGTGGTGCATTAAATAGTGTGACTAACATCTGTCACATGTGGTTCATTCGCTTCCTCTCCCGTCCCCTCTTCTTCTCCCCAAGGGGAGACTTGTAAAGGGAGCTGAGCGCTTTTGTTTCTGTAGTGGATTTTTATTCTTTTTTTTTTTTTCCATTGTAATGCACACTCTGCCCTATTTTTCTGTGAGATAAGGCAGTCAGAGGACATGAAGGGGAAGGCGATGGCGGTCCAGGCAGCCATAAGTGCCCAGGGGAGTTGTCCCCGCAGCTTCGGCCATGGTGTCAGCTCCCTCACAGATGACTTCATCCTGGTGATAGAGAGCTCCACTGGGCTGCCGGAGCTATGCTGCCGGGCATGGCCTTAATGCTTGGGCTGCCGGCGGGGTGGGGGGACTGCGTGCGGTGGTATTTTACAGATATCTGGAATGTCAACTGTTTCCCTAAATATCTAGGGGCAGGTTCTTGCTTTAGGAACGGTGGACATTATGTTGCATCTTGAGGAAAAAAATGGCATGCTCCTTTATCATAGCTGATTGCGAAGTGAGGGCTAGTTTTTCTTCTAAGTTTCAAAGCAAAATTCCCTTCTTTTGTCCATCTCCTGGCCCACAGTCTCCTGACTCTCATAATAGCATCCTTTTGGAAGCTTACCAGTAACAGAATACTCCAGGGTCTTGGCCCATAGATGTGTGTTTGGAATAGCAGTGATTAAACCTTCTTTTGAGGGAAACAAACAAAAAGGCTTCCTTTCAAAACACACACATGCATATGTATATGTGTGCATATGTACCTAAAAATGCAAACAGAAAAAATGTGTAATGCAGATACTTCTCTCCCTCACCCTTTCCTGGTCAGGAATGCAGCAAGGTGAAAGAGGTGCAGCCTCTCAGAAGCATTTCCATTGTTCCCTTCACATTTGCTGATCCACCCTGTCTTGCCTGAGAGCCCTTCCCTGCTGCCATATTCCCTTGATACTTTCTTGAAACCACCCAACTATCCATCCGTTCCTTCCTCTGACATCTGCTTTCTCTCAGCTTGTCAGTGCTCAAGGGCAAAGAGGAGTGCAGGAAAGAGGTAGCCTGGGATGCACATGTTCAAGAGACTGGGAGGGTTTCCAGAAACTGAGAAGCAGAACAGATTGAGGCCTATTCCTGGCTAGAGACCTATTTCCAGACGGCCAAAAAACATTCCTAACCCCTAGACTAGTACCCGGGGATTAGATGAAAATAGGAGGGGAAGTGCCTCAATGTGGCTGTTGTTTATGTGTTTGCATATTATGTGCAATAACTCCTCTGTGGTTTTGTGCTGATGAGCATAGAAGGGCAAGAAACGAAGGACAACATACTCAGATAAGTAAGTCTGTACACCGAGGATGTGAGACATCCAAGATTGTACTTGGCTATAGCACACATTTTCCAAGGAAAATCACTTCCTTGGTCTCTGCCTCGGTTTCCTCTGTGCCTTTGGGGGGACCCTTGTAGTGGGGTCTGTCCTGTATCCCTGTGCAGTGGCTGCCACTCTGAAGTCCTGCTCTGGCTTGTAGTTACTAGACAGTGTCAGACAACTGATACAAAAGAAGAGGAATGTAATAACACCGTCTTTGAGCAGAAGTTATGTTCCCAAATAGGACCACAGAAAACCAACCACCACACAGCTCCACCCTCCTAGGTGTATAGGATGCTGTGCCCTCTAGCCTCAGTCAGAAAGGGGTGTCACTCTATGGAAATACAACCACAACCAAATGCGATGAAGGTGTGCTCCTGAGACAGTTTTGAAATATCCAGTTGCTTGGGCTTTAGGGAAGTGAAGCCGTTTCAAAATCCAGTCTCTTGCATATTATGAGTCTGCTGGTGGTGTTGAAGAGAGCTGGTGCTGTGGTCAGGTTCTCCTCACTCCCAGGAGAAATGGAAGGGAGTTAATGGAGAACCAGTTTTCTTTTTGAAAGATGTAGATCTCACTGGATCTTATTTCTTCCATCATGTGTCAGGGCAGTTGAGCCTCAGGATGTAAAAAGTCAAGAGCCCTGTGTCTGGCACTACTTTCTCCTTCCCTTCTGGACCTCCATAGGAAAGGGGTGGTGAGTGTCCTGGAGAGTCAGCTCCCTCTGCCCTGCCCCTTGTTCTTGTTGGGGAAGGAAGGTAATACCATTTCAAAGGTCTGACAGGATCTCAGCTTCCCAAGCTGACCTCCTTCCCAGATCTGTAGGGCACAGAGCCCAGACAGCTTCCATGTGGAAGGGATACCAGGTCCCCAAGAGTCTATATCTCTATTTAAGAGCACACACCCTCACTGAAAAGCACTATGGTAAACTACATCAAGTTTCACTTAGGAAATGCTGTAATTAGGGTCACCTGCATCACCTTAATCCAGCCTTCTCCTCGTGTGTCAGCATGGCAATACTGACTTTAATTACATGACACCCCACAGTATTTTTTTCCAAGGGACCCCAAACCCCGGAGCACCGCAGAATGGATCACTACTCAATCTTTTTCATTCAGTGTCTGACTTCATGCATTATTTAGCATGCTTTCTCCAGCCCCTCCACATGCAGAACCACACGCTTCCTCCTGGCCTTTTGGAGAGGCTTTGTCCTGGGATCAGTGGCTCCTGGATGGGGGAGATAGGACTCCCTCTTCTCACCACCACAGGCTGGAGGGGGAGACAGACTATTCCCACCCACCTGTAGGTGATTAAATGGTAGTCCACCATTTAGCAGACACCTAACACCTGGTCCTGATAAAAGGTTGCCAGCAGCAAAGGTGGGAGTTGCCTGCAGGGAAGGGAGTTCGCGCAAGAGAGGGAGTGATGCCTTGGGGAGTTATCTGAGTTGTAAACTCCTAGACAGCCAAAGGAGGCCTTGCCTATAAGGGAAGAAGCTCTGTTAGTAGGAGGGTGTTGAGGGAGGAGTGCTAGCAGGCAGAGGTGTGTAGGGTTTGGTGGCTCAGCCAGTGCCCGAGGCTGACACCTAATCCCTTGTCCAAGGGCTGGAGGAAAAGTTGCAATTCCTGGTGCCTGAGGGCCCTGCTGAGAATGAGCGCCTCATGGTTCCATATGGCAGGTACCAGCAGGGTATCAAAGACAGTCCTCAGAAAACAAAGTTGATATTTGAGGGGGAGGTTGGGTTGTGGGTTTTTGGGGGTGTTTTGTGTTAGTTTTTTGTGGGTTTTTTTGTTAGCGTGATAAGTAATGTAAATAGTTTGCCCAATGTCTTGCTCTAAATCAAGACAATGACTTTACAAATGACTTCCATGGTGTTGTGGAGAGCCAGTTCATCAGCTACCTGACTTGTTCATCCTGTTCCCAGGCACCTCAATAGATGAGGCAAGGTCTTTCACACGCAGCCCTGTGCCATGCTGAGAGTACACCCAGCTTGGGTGTTGAGGAGAGGTGGGGGCAGGTCACATAAATCTACTTAAATTACTATCTTCAGCATGTCTGTGTAAAGGATCAGAGTGAGGGTGCACAGGAAACTTCTGTTCTGGTGGTCTCTAACTCTTGTGTATTAAATGCTGCAACCTTTAAGCTTTTATGTTGCTCCTTGCTTCTTTTGTGTACATAGCCCTAAATGGAGTTCCCAGCTTCCAGAGCAGCAAACAGATGGGCAAGTTGGACCAGAATGCCCTGCTGGATACACAACGCTAACATGAAGTACTATCAGTCTTGGGATCCCCCTTTGCTCACCTGCTATCAAACTCAGTCACGTTATGCAGCTGTTTCCGGTAAGTCTCCAGCAAAACCCACTGGGAGCACTGGGCTGGCACTCGGTGAGGAGGGTGAGGCTTGGAAAAGCGAAACCGAACGGTGCCCGTGTGGGTAAAGCAGATGTAACAGTCGGGGAGGTAGGTGGCATTGTACACCAGCCAGTCCACACTCAGGATGGCGTAGTCGTGCAGGTGTAAGACAGCACCTGGTGGAAGGAAAAGTATAGCCTGATGAAACAGGGCAGCTCAGAAGAGGGAGTCAACGTTTCACATGATGATAGTTTGAGTTTGCCCATCTAGGGGCATCTGGAAATTCTTCTAGATGGCTGCAAGTGACTTCTCCTAGCAGAGACTGTGAGGCTGCTCTGCCTCCCCCATGCTGGGGAATGTGGCCCACTCCGTGTGAAATGTGGGGCAGGCAGAGCATGACAGCTCCCTGGGAGAAGGAGAAATCAATAGGGAGCTCTGCTTCTCTGCTGGGATGGAAAATGCTCCGAGTTATTAAAGGTCTTTCAGATAGACTTTGCTGTGAGCTGGCTCAAGCCCCACCGATTTAAAGAGGAACTTACGCAGTAGGCAGCAGTTTACAAGGTGTGCTAGCTGATTGGCAGACCTGAAGCAAGCCTCTGTATCTAAGCTGTTTGAATCCCAGACTCTATTTTTGCATCTAGTCTGTCTCTTTCATCTCTTTGAAACCCTGACATACACCAAAATCCCAGACCACAACACACTGGGGAATTGCACTCAGATGCAGAAGTACCATCTACTTCTGTGCCTTATCAAAAGCATGCTCACTAACATTGTACATCTGCTGCTGGCCAGCACGAAGGGCCTTTGGGACACTCTGTTATTGTGCAGTATGTTGACAACTGCCAGTCTTCCTGGCACAGGAAGCATCTTCTGAATCTTCACCTTCTACAGCCTTTCATTTTGCTAAAATCTCTTTTGCAGAGACCTGTTATATGACTAGTCCTTGAACTAAACTTTGTCTTTTTAAAGGGAAGATACTGTGAGAGCTAGTGTCTTAGAGATATGTGTTTTATTAGTCTAGGAGAGACCTCATAGTCAAAATAGCTTGGATGCCCTTAGGGGTAAAGGGAGAACATGAGTAGCAAGAACAAGACAAAAGGCTAGTGCATATGTGATGTTAGAGAAACTTCAAGGCTCTAGTTTACAGTGGACTAATCTAATATAGACTATAATGTCATAATCTCCCACTACAGAGGGTCTGACTGTTAAGATGCCAAGCAACTGAGCAGCAATAGAAATTACAATAGTGCCTGAAACAACAGTAATTCCCAGGGGCTCTGATCAAGACTAAAGCTTCTAAGACTAGGTCCTACTCAAGCAGCTACAAGGATATGATCTTGGGCCTAAAAGCTTATGGCTCTTGTAAAGGTCCTGAGAGCCCATTTTAATATCTCCTGGATTGAAAAATGTTAGTTGTTTGGTTTGATTTCTCCTTGATATTAAAGATACTGCACTGGTGGTGAAGAGGGGGATACTATTAAATTCCTTACTGTTCAATTCAGCAATGAAAGTATAAGGACAATTCTGACATACCAATCATTTATGGTAACAGATTAGGATTAGGATGATGCAAGCCAGGCATCCTTCTCCCTACCAGCCTCTGGTATGGGATAAGCTTGGAAGTGAGAATGATGGCTTTTATCCATGTGTCAGTGTCACAGCCTTGCAAGTGAAAAATGTTCTTGTGGGGAAGCTGACTTCCAAAGCAGGTCACCAGCCTGTTTCTAGGGAGCCACATGGGCAAGGCCATGAGATTCTGCATCTAGAAACAGACCATCTGGAAGGGTGGATATGTTGTCCAGAGTCACAGGAGTATTGACAGTGTTTGCTGAAACTGTCTCGCATCTTTAATTGAAGATACTTCCTTACAGAACCAGAGATGCTGAACAAGAAGCTAGTCGCTTAGGAGTCAAGGCCTTCCTTCTGTGATCACCTCAACCTCCTGCCTCTTCCTGCTACCCAGCCTAAGTGGCTTGGATTTCATAGAATCGCTTTGTTTGGAAAAGACCTTTAAGATCATGAAGTCCAACCATTATCCAACTCTACCAAGCCCACTTCTAAACCACATCCCTGAGCATCATATTTAGAGGGATTTTAAACAAATGCAAGGATGGTGATTCAGCCACTTCCCTGGGCAGCCTGTTCCAGTCCTGGATAGCCATTTCAGTGAAGAAGTTTTTCCTAATTTCTAACCTAAACATCCCCTGGCATAACTTGAGGCCATTTCCTCTTGTCCTGTCAGTTGTAACTTGGCATGATCACTTCTCTACTCCTGATGGACACACTGTTTTTGATAAAAGCCAGGATGGTCTTGGCCTTCTTGTTCACCTGGGTACACTGCTGGTTCAAGTTCAGCTGGCTGTCCATCAACACCTCCGGTCATTTCACCTTGGCTAAAAATATCCTCTTTCCCATTTCCATCACAATCTGCAGTACTGAGCTTTCAGAGACTGCTTTGTCCCAACTGCTAATTGGAGGATGCACAGGATGGTGCAGTGAAGGTATTAGTCTCATACTGCTATCTAACCTAAAATGGTCAAAATGCCTTTAAAACTATGTATGCTGCAGAGTCTGAAAACCCTTTTGGTAGAGGGCATGGCAGCCCATCAGCACATAGATTCCTGTGCAGCAGGGGAGAACCAACATCTCTAAAGACAAGAGGAGAAACACCTGCCCATATAAGCAGAGACCTCCTGTAAGTGCACAGACCAGAACTGAATTAAGAAAGACTGAGAGAATACAGTAATTTTTATATTACATTCTGTAGGTCACATCAACACAGGCTTTGACTTGCATTCAGTGAGTAAATAAACTTGTTGTGTTGGAGGTAGCACTTTCCTCCTCTAGTGCCCCCCAGACTTTCCAGTAGACTTCCAGGTCTGCTACAGAGCTACTTGCAGAAAGACATTGAGGGCTACAGTATTTTTGGCTAAGATGTGGGCTAAGGCAAGGTTGGTAGCATTTCTGTGGTACGTGTATGTGGAAAAAAAAAAAGGCCCTGGCTGGAACACGCTGAGCAAATATGGATGTCTGATGTCTTATTGTCTTTGCTTCCTCTGCCCTTTCTCCACACTTGAAAGGCTGAAGGATCCATATTGTAAGTTTTACCAAACGCTACAATTGCTGGAAACATGTATTCATCTAATCCATCCCCCTCTTCCTCTCTCCCCCTGCCCTGTCCCCAAGTTCAGAGGCAGGGCTCTTCCTGGAACCCAGTGAGCACAATTTACAGCTCCTGTAAGCTTGTCCGCTGCATCTTGTATTTTGTCCCAGCTCTGCCATAGAAAGCAAAAGGCGAGAAGAGGATAAATAACATGAGCAACCCTTAGGACAAGCCTACCTTTCGGCATGCGCTTTACGATGCTGAACACCGTGCTCTGATCAATGAGGCCTTTTGCCCGGAAGAAATGCATGCTTGGAGGAAACTGTCCTGTAGTTATGGCTCTTGCAACCTCCTTCTTCTTGAGGTTTACAAGATTTGTACTGAGCTGCTGTTCCTGTCTACTCAGCACCAAATTGCCACCCATGTGACGGGCTTTCTCCTCTTCCATTAGGGAGTCCCGGTCCTTCCAGAGTGGGGTGGGAAGGCAGAGGGAAGCTGAATTCAGAAGGAGGTATGCCAGACTTATGCCTTGCCCAGATGGAGGCTTCATCTTAGAGCTGCACCTAGAAAAGGGGAGAAGATTGAAACGTTAGCACAGGTCAGAAAGTAACATCTTAGCAGTGTCCCACAGGGATATCAAACAGTTGGCCCATCCTGCAGAAGCAGCAGGTTAGTGGGATGCTCAGTACAGGGGGGGAGCACCTGGTACCAATGTCCCCTGTATTTAGGGCTATATATCTGCACAGTCCCCATGATGCTGATGCATAGACCAAGACTGTGGGCAGGGATGGAGAGGAGATACTGCTCCCCAGATCAGGCTGGCAGCACTTCACAAAGACAACATGGCAAATGTCCAGCCCTGTAACTGGGGACTGGTGAGGTCAGGACTCTGTCTTGCAAGCTGGGGTGGAGTCCCCTCAGAACAAGGGGTGCTGGTGACAAAGTGCTGGCTCTGCTGCTGGCATCCCGGGGAGGGAAGTAGGGGGTCATAGGACTTGAGGTGCTTTTGATTTTTGCTTGAGTGAATCAGATTTTGAATCCCTACATGTAAGAAAAGAGCTTGTGGCACCATTCTAGGATATTCCAGCTATCAGAGGGGTTAATTTACAGGCAGAAAACCCCAGGTCTTCCTCTGCAGTGACAGAGGGGTGTCTCTTCCTTGCAATCCCAGAAGAAAGAGAACGGAAGGGAGACCATGGGACTCATAAGAGACCACAGGCACTTGTGAACTCTGAGAACTCTGCCCTTCCCAAAAAAGCACAGCTGCAATATAATCCTTCAACACCAGGCTTTAGTGACCCCCCACAGCAATCTCTCTAGACCAAAGCAGGCTGGAGAAAGACTCAACATTTTGAAACGGTCCCCTATGTATTACACAGTAAGTTCCTGTTTGCGCACGTGTCTTCTGCTTCCAGCCTCTCCTCCACCCGTGAGGCCACCAGGATGCCCTCAGCCCCATCAGCGAGTCCCAGGAGACAAAGGAGTGCTGGGGGAACAAACTGCTGGGAACAGAGGTGGGGGGTATACGTAGCCCCGCCTCAGGCCTGGCTCTGAACTTTGAGAAAGAAACCTCCTAAAAGGTGCTAGCTTATCCCTAGTGAGACTAACTCACTTACTGTTAATTTTCCTGCTCCTTGTATCCAGAGCTCATCCAGCTGTCAGCGAGTCCCAGGAGACAAAGGAGTGCTGGGGGAACAAACTGCTGGGAACAGAGGTGGGGGGTATACGTAGCCCCGCCTCAGGCCTGGCTCTGAACTTTGAGAAAGAAACCTCCTAAAAGGTGCTAGCTTATCCCTAGTGAGACTAACTCACTTACTGTTAATTTTCCTGCTCCTTGTATCCAGAGCTCATCCAGCTGCCACTGGAGCGAGTGGGGAAGTTATCTCTCTTGCAAGCCGGCACTGTCCCACCAAAGATAAAGAGGCAGAATCCGTCCCGGTGGTGCAGAACGAGGCACTCGCCGGCGAGCACAGTTCCTCTTCCTGTGCTGCCGCTCTGGCTTGCTCAGCTTTTATTTATTCCTGTCCCTACCGCTTCATGAATATATAAAGAGGAGGAGGAGGCAGGAGAGGTTATGAGAAAGCAGGGACACAGGCACCCAGTGAAGGCAGCTGAAGGGAGCTGGGCCGGGAACTGGGGGGCCAAAGCAGCAGGGTCACCTATGGGAACCCCTCCAGCTCTGGCACGGATTTGACTCTTTAACCCGTCATTGACTGCCAGCGAGGCGATGGGGGACTTGTCTGTGCAGCCCTCCCCTGTACCCTGATATACATACATGGCTTTTAAATATCCTGGAAGAAACACTTGGGCCCTGCTCAGGCTGCTCCAGGAATACACGTGAGCCTGGGTATCTAATCTGTCACAGGGCACCATCTGTTTAATCCAACAACACTGCAAACTCTGCTTACTAATGATTTTTTATCTGAGAAAAGAGTAATTTGTAAAAGTAGTTTTAAATTATTTTGCTTAGTCTTTGCCTGTTGTGCGAACCAGGCAGACAACAATCTAACCCAGCACGCAGGGCTAAGCTTGTGCCTGGGGAGTAAATCAGGTGGAGGTGGATACGGTCTGAATTAAAAAAAAAACAACCACAACAAATACTGTAATTTCACTGTTTTATTTTGCACAGTCGAATGGAGTGAGTTTTAAAGTTATTTAAAACAGATGTTACTTAAACAGCTTCCAGTGGAGAACAAAGTCCATGTGATTTAATTTAATCAACATTTTAACGATTTTAATTTTTTTAATAAAAAAAAGAAAGCTCTTATAAGCCAAGAGCTATTGAAAACAACCCACAGCAGTCACAAAGATCATTTTCAAGGCAGAGAAAGTAGGATCTGGTCAGTAATAAGTTAAATTTCATTAGCTGGCACTACTGCATCAGATTGAAAATGGGGTGGACAAGCCCCTCCCTTAATATCCCAGCTGGACACTTGCCAGCTTTTCCTTCTCTCCTGGTCCCTTCACCCTTTGCTGTCACCAAAATCAGTCCCAGCATCTATTCAGGGATCAGCCAGGGTTCTCTCATGCCCTCCATGCCCCAGCCAGGGCAGGATGTCTGGAGGGTGGCTGCAGCTCCTTGCCCACTCCTCAGCAGGAAGGGTTTTCTTCTTGAGTCTTCAGATGATTCTGCTCCCAAAGGAGACCAGAGCAGCAGAAAGATGACCCAGCTATGCTCTGCAGCAACTATTAGTTGATGAAAGCAACCCAAGGATGGGAGGTATCAGGGGCAGACCGCAGAGGGAAGCACATGGAGTACAAAAGGGATGGATCAGCAGGGACAAGCGTTCTGCCTACAGATATCTTCAAGGGAACAATATAAGCAAAGGAAGGGAATTGCTCTAATTGTCTCAGAGTAGTAAAGCCTGATGTTAGGACCATAAAACCAAAATCAGGCTAGGCAGTTAGAAAACTCTCTCTGTAGTGAGTAGTCAGGTGCTAGAGACAGGTTCCCAGGGAATAGCATTGAGAGGGGTTAAAATACTCTGTGAAGGACCTCAAATAGCGGCTCAGAGCCAGGCAGGGGGCTTGGACATGCCTGCCAGAGGACCTCCAAGATTTGCAGCGCTGGTTCATCCTGTCAAATTGAGTTTGAAAAACAAAGCAAAATTCCAGTGCTAAAACACTTCTTTAAAGGGACTTTTCCATGGAAGCAATTGCAGCCATTGCCAGGAGAGTGCTGTGCAGATGTTGCAAGATTGTGCTAGGAAATAAGAAGGTGTTTTGAGATGCTTTGCTCTCTATTAAAATGTGGTCCATGCTCTGGAAACAAAAATCATAGGGGGGCCAGCACTGCTGAAATGAGATTGCAGCTGCTTTTTGACAGGGTCAAACTGGACATGGAGGGTGGAAGGAGGGAGAAGAGGACAACTTAAGCCAGGGTATGGTTGTCACCAGCCAGGAGCCCCATTTGTGAGAGGACCTGAGTTCTGGTGCCTGCAGGCATTCACAGCTCTGGTTTCAGACTGCCCTGGGAACCAAGGCATGGTATAGGAAGACTTGCCCTGTACAAAGGACTAGCAAGGAATGTCGTAGGCATCACTTCCATGCCAACATATCTCTCTGCTAGTTTGAATTCTTGCTGAGAAGTGGGTAGCCTGTCTGGAGGTTGTGTAAGAGCTCTCTATGTCTGTCTACAAGACCATGATTGCAGTTCCTGCCCAGTCTTGACTGGCTCCTGAAATAATCTTAAACTTCCTGGCTCTGGTCTCACTTGATGTTTAGCTAGGGCTGATAAGGGCACCAGTCATGCCCTCCTCTCTCATCAAATGCCCCAACTGTTCCCTGGTCTCTTGTGTGGTTTCTAGCCCACCCTGACCTCTTGGCTGCTGCCAGTATACCTACAAGTGTTCAAAAGCCCTGTTTTAAAGCTGTCACATGTATGTCTGTGCAAGCTGGAAGCACACCCTGTCTTTATGCCCAGCTGCACATAAGATGCAAGTGAAGCTTTAAATAGCTGGTGACCATCACTTAGCGCTCTCAGTGAATTCCCCTTGGTTCAGTTTCAGTTCCACATGCGAACCAGTTTTTTTCAAACCTCTCAAGCTTCTTGGAGGTGATGGCTACCATCTCCTCCCACACATTTCTGCACCTCTCCCTCCTACATCTTCCCTGCTGCTGCCACAGCTGAGTGTCTGCTCCCACCATTCAGTCCCTTGTAGCAGCAGTACAAAGGGCAGCACAGACACAGTCCCGAGCGGTGGGGTGCAGGAAGGGGGAAGGACACCAGGCACAGCAGCAGCAGGCTTGCAGTCATGCCCTTTTCACTTCATCTTTCAGCTCAGCATCTCACACAGTGCTTTACAGGATCCTGCAAAGTCCATCTTTCTGCTGCAGCCTCTGCATGGAGGATCAACTTGCCATGTGCCACGGCAGATCCCAGCCCCAGAGGGGCTTTATCCTTGCAGCTCAAGTATGCGATAGCAAAAGCTGCAGTGATGACACATTCAGCAGAAGCCAGACCTAGGGATGGTGCAGACCTGATTGTGTTTCCTGTGTAGGCAACCCATTTCGCAAAATCCAAACCAAGGAGCGTTTCTCATAGTATAGAGGGTTGAGGTGTCTTTTACCTTCTTAGCCTCTCTGAACAATCTGAAGTCTAAGACAAGCTCTGGAAATATCACCATAAGGCCCGGAACAGAAAGTCAAAGAACACATTTCCCAGCTCCACCAGTTATCTGTCTTTTCAATGTCAGCTGCTTCATTTGTGAAATGGGACCAATTCCCTACCTAGCTGCTCTTCTTGACAGTGGTGATTATTTACTGTATCTGCTGGTGAAACAGCCACACTCCCCAGGCCAGCGGCTAGATGGCTAGCAAGTCTGCACAAGAGACACGCTCCAGTTTTGAGAGGAAAACTGTGAGGTGGGACAAGCTATACCTGAGCAGGCATGGCCTGGGTTGAGACTGGAGTGCCAGTCCCTGCTCCAAAGCAGTCCAAGCCTCCCAGCTCCTGGCTAATGCCTGCAAAATGCTTAGAACATGTGAAAGTACTAAGTGCTATAAATTATTATTAAGAATAGACTGGCCCAGGATGTTTGAGATGATTAAAACCTCC